TGAGATATTCTATGGCATTCTATGGCTAGTAGCTTCTATTGTTGGATCCGTCCAGGAGATCATGGATCCTGAATACTTGGTTTTGTCCTTCGTTGGGGAAAGGGTGGAGTCTATGAATGTCGGCGGAGTAGTCGCGTTGGTTGTTTTCAAGTATTCAGTTTTAACAAAGTTGAGGAATAACCCGTACAGGCCGCCTCTGACTGCTCGTTGCGGAAGGTACTCCTCCACTGCCGCAATAGTAACACCGAACAGTAAGGTATCATCCGTGTACCCAATATCATAAACCGGCTTACCTATGGAGCAGCTGCTTGTGGGTACACATGTGCTGAATAGTCGTCTACCTATGTCCGCTAGCAATACAGTCATGACTATGACAAATAGGCATGGGCTGAGCGGGCATCCTTGCCTTATTTCTGTATGCGGAGTACCCGAGGCTTTCTCCTTGTTCAAGCCTATGGTATGAACAGTTCTTGAATTAAGTCAACATAATGTTGGTGTATGCCGAAGCGCTTTAGTGCAATGATCGTGCTCTCATGGTCGACCTTATCAAAGACCATCCTCCAATCAAGGAACACTAGGCGAAATTGCTGGCCTGTTCTGGCGGAGTAATCTTAGGAAGGCTGCACAGTATGAAGCGCAGGTGTTGCGTGCTGCGGCAACGTCTGAAGCTGGCCGTAGTTATCGGCTAGCCTCGCATGTAACAGGGATGCGTATATTTTGCACAGCGTATGAAGCAGCGCAGTTGGCCTGTAGTTCGTTGCATCCGATTCGTCACCTTTTCCCTCACAGAAGGAGCATGCTATAACGTGCTTCCAGGCTTGCAGCACTCTTTCCGAAACCCAGCATGTGTTCGTTTGGGCCTCCCCGAAGGTGTCCAGGAGGAGCAATATTCTTAGGCCGTCTGGGCCCGGTGCCTTCCCCTTTTTGACTTTCTTGAGCACGGGAGACAGAAAGGTTTTTGCGGGGTGGTATCCTGCGGCCTCAGTGGGGTCGTTTCTTTGAGGAGATCCATTTCTTCCTGTGTGGCAGATAGTTTGTATTCAGCAGAGCCACCGTTTAGGGTTTTTTTTTTAAAGGCTCTTTTCCGACTGCACGGGTACCGGCTACGGAATCCCCTTGCGGGGCGAGCAACTGGGCAGGCCGTTTTTAGCCCACACCAGAAAAACGACTCTCACTCAGGTACGTCACGTTGTCACAGGACCGCATTCACTCACTGAAACATCCCAAAGCCCTCCAAAGCGACATAGCCCGTCACGTTTCACCCTCCTTCTCGTCCAGGATGGGGTTCGCTGCTGAGGTTGACTTCTTCTCCATGGGGAAATTCTGCGCCGCCTGGGTGGAGTCGTCGACGTCCAAGATGTACTGCGCCTCCATAAGGTCAAGCAGGTCACTCCCCCCGGCCTCTTTGACAGCCATGTCAGAAACTTGTCCACCTCGCCACTTCATGTAGAGGTCCTCGTAGTCCTTCCACTCGAGGCCCCGCAGACCTCTCTCACTCCCCCTGTTCACATCCTCCATGTCACCGGCATTCATCCCCGAGTCCAGCAAAGTCGCATCGGCTACGGCAGGCTCCCCGGGGATCGGGACAAGCGGTAACGCCAGTCCCACCTCCAGAGATGGCTCCTCCAGCGGCTCAGTATCTTGGTCATCGATGGGGTGCTTCGTCTTCACCTTCTTCGCTGCTGACTGCTCTCCAGGGGGTTCAGCTTCCGTAGGCGCCCCCTCTTCCACAGCATTCCCCTTGGTGTCTGGACCTTGCTCCAAGATGACCGTTTCAACATCGTCCGGGAATGTCTCCTGCCTCATCTGGAGCTCCAGCCGAAGTGAGACTCGACCACTCCCTGCAGCCATAGGTATATCCAAGGAGCGGCGCACCCACGGGTGATCCGAGCCGCCTGCCCCACTGATGGTGACCCCCATCCTTCGTTGTTGCCTTGGGGGTTCGTTCAGAGCGTTGTGCCACTCCCAGTCCTCCCATTGACGATATTCTTGAGCTGTAAGGCGGACCGGCGGATCGCGACTGCTCCGCGCCTCTTGTTGGAGACCCATCTGGTACTGCAAAACCTCATCCTCCTCCCTTTCATGCTCGGCTTGCTGGGCTTCACGGTCGAGTCGTTCTTTCTCTCGTTCCATGCGGATATTCTCTTCCTCCCTGGCCATTTCTTGGATCTCTGCATCACCGGGGCTCCAAGAGGCATTTCCCCTACCGGCCCTTCTTGCTGCCACCGCCGGGGGAGGGTCTGTCCTGAAAAGAGCGTCCCACCATTGTAGCTGCCAGGCTATGTCTCCAATCCCCACGTCCAAGCATTCACCCTCCTCCATGGCAATCAGCATCGCAGTGAGGCTCTCCCTTCGGTCATTGGGGATCCCCGTATGCTGGGTCAGCCTCGCTTTGAGCCCAGCTATGTTGGCGTTCCTCACCCCCGGTGGCTGCTTCCCAAGTTCATCTTGAAGGCGCTGGACACGATGTTGCCATGCTTTATCCGGATCTCGCCAGCCCCGGAACTGCCAGTGAGAGTGCGCTGCATCAGCGACCCGTCATCGCCCTCTGGTGGGTGGGGCTCGACAGGCACTTCCACCAGGACCTCTCCCCTGTCTCTGGCTGTGCCTGCTTCAACTCCTCGTTCGAATGCCTGCATAACCTCTGCCATGAGCATGCGGATGAAGCGGACGAAGGCGACCGTCATGATGGCGCGATCATGGTCGTTGTAATTCGCCACCGTCTCTGTTATCATGGCTGAGGAGTGTTCTGGGAGTAAGGCTCGTCCGGCCGCGACAACGTCGACCCCCTCCTCGAAGGGTTTAGGGTTTAGGGTGTAAGGTGGTTTGCAAGCTTCGTGGGTTTTCGACCACGGGATTTGTCTACAGGATTACCCAAAACATTCACCGGATTCAATGGCCCAGCGTAAACAACAGGAATGAATGGTGTGTCGAGAGCTACATTGGCAGATGGAAAGCCGTGCGTGTAACGATCACACTCGCCATCATCTGCAAAATTGGGCCTGTAGTTGAGCATTCCGACTTGATAAGTTGCCTTAGTCGGATTTTGAGCAAAGCTCAACTGGTCCTTCTTCATCACTCTAAACTGCGCGTTCACAAAATTCAGAGCTTGGTCATTCAATGGCCGAGTGAAGCCGCCGATCGGCGCATTGATGTGATCGTAGTCAACAGAGCAAAACGTCGGGAGCATGATGTCTCCGATAGCAACGACGTCTTGCTTGATGAACTCTGTCTGAACGCCACATTCATGAACAACCTGATCAGAAAGCCAGCAAACATGGTATCAAGGCAGAACCTCCAAACGCATCTGACGCCTTCTTGAGTCATTTTCATCATTTGGCTTGACCAGTTGTTGTTCAATTGAGGTTTAGCGCGGAAAATAGGGTTTTGCAGCTTAGGGCTCCAAGTTCTGGAGGAAGAAAGGAACCAAAACCTAAACCCGAAAACCATCCAGGCTTAGGGTGTAAAACTGCTAGCTAGGCTCCCGTCGACAACAGTGCACAAAGACGGTGCTGACCCTTCCCCTAAACTCTGAACCATAAACCCCTCCACCCTCAACCCTCAAGATTGGGGTGGAGGGACGCAGGGTTATAGATTCAACTGGGGGCCCTGAACCCTTGCCCTATACCATCAAAAAACACGCACCACTTCATATCTCGAGTTCAGAGTTCAGGGTTTCGGGTTTGGGACTCCTAAAGCCCTAAACCCCTCAACCCTGGATCCTAAATCCTAAACCCCTAAACCCTGGATCCTAAACGCCACACCCCGATACCCTGACCCTAAAACCCTAAAACCCTAAAACCCTAAGCCCTAAACACTAAACCGACTAAACCCCTCAACCCTGGATCCTAAACCCTAAACCCTAAACCCCTAAGAGCTTGATCCTGAAATCCCTAAAGCTGGCCTTACCGCCCTTCTTCTTGGCGTCGGCATGTCCCACGTCGGCGGCTTCCTGGTCTATGGGCAGCTCGTGGTTCGGATTTAAGATTGAGGATTGAGGGTTTTAAGTGTTCTAGGGCCCTAGACCCTAAAGCCTAAACCCTGAACCCTAAGCCCTAAACCCTAAGCCCTAAACCCTAAAACTGAGCCCTAGGGCTTGGGAGCTTTGAGTTTGCGGCTTCAGTCTGACAGAGATTTGCGACTTAGGGTTGCAGCTTGAGGATGCATTGGGGTGTACGCTTCAAGCTTCAGATTGGAGCCACGGTTTGGGGTTTAGGGTTTAGGGTCCAGGGTTTAGGGTTTAGGTTTTGGGGTTTAGGGTTTAGGTTTTGGGGTTCAGGGTTACGGGTTTAGGGTTACGGGTTTAGGGTTTTAGGGGTTGGGGTTTGGGGTTTAGGGTTTTTCTGGGGCTTTGGGCCTTGGCAGGTTCAGGGTGTGGGATGTTGAAGGCATCCCAAAGCCAAAGCGATAATTTCACAATGTTGCGGAACCTTGAAACCAGCCCTCAACCCTGAACCTCATGCCTAAAACCCTGAACCCCCCTCCCCCCGCCCCTAAACCCTGAATGGAAACACCTTGGTCCTGAACCCTAGACCTGAACCTCCTGATCTCTTCCAGAACCCTAGAACACCAGAAACCCCTCTCTAAACCCCTCAGAATATGGCTACTTCGCAAAATTAGGGGCCCTTTCTGGATCACCAATATAGTGCGGCACCTTTATAACAAGGACCCCAACAAGGGACCCTAATTTAGAGAACTACCCATATGGACCCTTGTAGAGTTCGATTCACCGGACAGACATGAAGAGGCCAGGGTCCGAACCGTTTTCCGACAGGCTTGGAGGATCATGGGACTTGTCACAGAAACCCCCTAACAACCCTAATATAAGGGCCTTATTTTGTTAGAATTTGGTTTGGGGGTATACTATACCAGAATTATAGTAAGGAACCCCTTTTAAAAAAATCTAATTTTTAAGGCCCCTACACTACCAAGCCTTACAAAGACCCCAGTAAAAACCCTCTGAAGGCCCGATGAAACCCTGGGATTCCAGCAACCCGCGCCTCGTCTGTGAGCAACTCCGAGGACAGCAGAGTACCCGGAAAGATGCCTTTAGGGTTCAGGGTTTAGGGCTTAGGGTTCAGGGTTTAGGGTTTAGGGTACCAGGCACGGGGTGGTTAAGAGCTTTTGACTTTGGGATTTAGGGCTTTAGAGGTTTAAAGTTTAGGGCTTATAGTGTGCAGGCCTTACGGCTACGATTGTAGCGGGTGATCTAAACCATCAGCCCTAAACCTAAACCCTTGTATACTATAGGCATTAGCCGGGGTTTAAAGTTGTTAAGTTTAGGGTTGCCTCCGAGACTGGCGTCTCAGGGCGTCATGCTTGCTATAGGGTTGTAGGACTTGAAATTTTTGGGTTTTCAGATGGTGGCTTTGTCATAAAGTTTTACCGGCTTCTATTTAGCCTTGATGGGACCTAGCTTGATTTTTGCCCAGGTCCTATGATTAGCCCTTTGCAAAGCTTAACGTTATGGTGTTATGATGCACAATTTAAAAGTTCGTAAAGGGGGCTTTTCTTGGTCTTTATGTGGCCTTATACTGATCTTTGTGCTCCTTCATCAGGATATCATTTTACTTCGAACATTATCAAGCAAAATGCATGCTCTGAGCCTAGATAAGAGTTTAAAGCAGCCGCACGAACTACCACACCTAAAAAACGTGATTTATGCTATATTGGGGTTGTCGTAAGAGCCTTGCAAAGCTAATTTTGGCCAAGTCTCCTGTTCTTATGGGTTCTGTCAGGGTTTTACAAGAGCGGACTACAAGATTTTGGAATGCACGGAAACCAATACGACAACGGAGGAATCTGCATCACAGCCCAAGATGCACAGAATTACTGTCAAGAGGAATGGCCTCCGCAGCGCTACAGTACAGCTTAAACCCCGCACCCTAAACCCCAAACCCTGGCAGAATAAGCCCTGCCTTCCTGTGTCACAACCTCAGTGCGCAAGACTTGAGTCTCGAGCAGCGGGAGACAACCCTTTTCTTAGGTTCCTTCTTCTGAGGGTCCTCTAAGCCCTCTTCCAAATGTAGGTCTTCGGGATTCTAGGCACGTAAAGGATCATCGGACTTAGAAACCAGGGTCATTATTAGGGTTACAACTAAACTTTACTATAGTTGACTGTAGCCCGATTTCAAGCACTTATACCCCTGCTTACTAAGTCCCTTGATCCTCCTGAGTAGTTATAACTACCTCAATTAAGAATTGTATATGTATAGTTACCCTAATTCGCCTCGGCCCGGCAGAAGCTGTCAGAGGTTCCTATTATGATTCCCTCTGTTACCCCCCCACTGCTCAAAGTTGCCATGGGGGGAGGGGGGGTCGTCTGTGTGAACCTTATTGCGCCCCAAGGTCCTGCGGAAATCTCAGCTCCTCCAATAGCTCTGGGCTGTCTGTAGCACCCACCATCGCCCGCTCTCCGGCTCTTCGGCCCCCTTGCCCCGGACGACACAACGACACCCCGCGATTTTCGCTGCATTGTTGGCTTCGCACGCAGCATCGAGCGCCCATCGCGCCTCGTGCACCGTCTGCATTCTACTTAGAGGACCTAGACCTCACGTTATAGTTTGTGAACAAACATACTCTCTGCAAACCGTTTTCCTTCACTACCACTACCTTCACGAAAACTCGAAAGCAACTTTTGCTGCACTTTGAATTGCAATCGGCAGGACATGCAATCCAGGTAGGGTTTCGTGCAACAGCATCCTCGACACACCGAGAAGCCGCACAATCACACCCCGCGCGAGTCTACACTGCAGATACCTAGAGCCGCCCACACTGAGCTTGGACTTTGTTTTCACATGAGAAGCTGCACAATTACATGTCGCGCGAGTCTATACTCAAGATACCGAGAACCTCACCACTCAGTTCGGAAAGCGTCGCATTTTCTCGCCACTGCGTTTTTTTGCTTATGAAACGATTCTGAATTCTCACTGATTGCATGCACGTGCCAACTCACAGCGACAGACGCTTTCCTTGCATCGCCTGTACACACCAAACGTGCGCAGTGGCTTGGCTTGGATACATGTTCCACATCTCCTTGGCCCATGTCAGAGGCATCACTTCCGTTTACTTCTCTCTCAGCCTGGCCTGCCTCTAAGCTCCATGTATGCACACACACTGCCTCTCGACGCGACGCCCAGTTCAAATCTTAATCAGTCTACAAATCATACTATCTGCTCTCACTGACCGCTCCCCTCCCGGCCACGTCCCACCATTTCATGCCTGCCCAAGGACTTGAATACAGGCTTCGTCGAAAATCAGCAACTTGCCCTCCCCGTTGTCGTCTGTGACAAGTTGGCAATTGAATACCGCGACCTGCACCGGCCCGGCGTTGTCGCCTACTGCTGTCGCGTTCAGCTTTACGTCGTCGTCGCCCTTGAGGACGAAATGGCACATGGGTTTGCCGGAACTGGCCCGCTTCATCTCGGAAAGTTCGAGGGCAACTCCGCAAACGGAAGCTGGCCCCGCCTCCGCTGTCTGAAAGACTTCAAACCGACTCTGGGAAAAGGCTAAAATCCAACGCAAACTCCAAACTGCCGGCACTCAGCTTTTCCAGCTCGCTGCCCGCTGTGCTGTGAACCCCGCACAAGGGTGTCCATTCTTTCCCGCGGATTTTTGGCACGCGAAACTTTTTCAGCGCCACCCGCCCAAAGACTCCTGTTTGGCTTTCCTCCGCGGCAGATGCAACCTCTTCCAGGCGCACGCGAGCGGCTACCTCGCTTTTCCTCTAGAAACTAGCCAAAGCAAACCCCGATTCATCAGCCAGAAGGGCTGAAGTGACCGGCTTCCAGAAGCCTCATTATTAAGTCCTTCAGTATCCGGGGCGCTAGCTATAAGGTCCTGGGAAGCCTGCATAATGTGGTTTCGGGGTTTAGAGTTGGGAATTCCGGCTTCAAGGTTTAAAAGCTTCCTTTGCTCGAAACTGCGTGGTCGACTGGATAAAAACCCGTTGCTCCGGGCGACGCACCTTGCGGCGCCTCGATCCAGCATGTTTCTTCAGGTTCGGGTGCGCTGCGTTGCAGAGTATATGTCGTTTATGAAGTAAGATTTCCTCTGGATGTTTGTCAAAACTTGTCAGATAAAGCTGTCGTTAAAACTTGTCAAAATCATCAAGCAATCAAGCCCTCAGACATGCCAAGGTTGATTCAATGGTTCGTTGGACATGTCGAAACTAAGAGGCTGCAGAATGGCAGATGTACCGAAGAGATCATGCTGTCTGGTCAACAACACTGCGCGTGCTGACCACAAATGCCCTATGCAAACGAGGCGGGCTCCTTCTTTTGGTCATCAAGCGAACGGGGGAATTCGATCACAACTATCAGAAATGCCAGCCGCCCCACAGGGCTCGAATCACAGATGCCCCATAAGGCAAGAGCTCCACAGAGCACATGCTGGTTTAACCAACATCCCCAGGGTGGGCTGGGTGGGACAAGAAAAATTTCTCGACTGAGCTGCTACCATGATATGCTGCCGACTGTCACATGGATGCGTGTTGCACATGAACAAGGTGGTTTCCAGCAAAGAACCCATGGCGTCTGAGGAAGCCCGGTAAGGCTCATACCCAAAGGCCTCAGCCTCTTGCTAGCTCGCTCTGACAGGCACAGAGAAGTCACAGGCTGAAAAACTGGCGAAGCACTAGCCAGAGTCGCCCTACAATGCCTTGCATGGGCCTGCAGAGTCTCATGAGAGGCTACTGTCGACAGGCTAGGGTAAGCAGCACGATTTGCAGAGGGCCCCGCAGAGGAGGCCTGCGAAGAGGAAGCTGGCATGCCGAGCCAGACAAAATTCCCCTTTCAGACTTCAGCAAAGAAAAATGTACAGACGCGCCAAGGTCAGAGCGCGCGCCGGATGTAGAGCACGAAAGCACTGATAATACTCAATGCCAGCCACACCAGTGCAACAGACAGGTGGTCTGCAGTATCAGGATCAGAGGCACTCAAGGCTGAGGTGTCGGCCGACTCTAAGTATCCCAGCAGCTAACAAGCAACAGCAGGCTGCAAAATGCACCACAACTCGTCGATGATGCTTATGCCCGAAAAGTTGCGAGTAGAGGCAAGGGAAGGCGAGTCGTCGCCGTCGTCTTCCATGCGCCAGCAGGCGGGCACAAGGGCACAAGAAAAAAATTTTTCGACTGAGCTTGCTACTATGATATGCAGCCGACTGTCACATGGATGTGTGTTGCACATGAAGCAACAGCTCTTCCATAGAGAGCTGGCAGTGGCGGCATAAAACAGAAAACATGGTCGTGAAATTCTCACATGAAAATAGCACCATGCAAGCTGTCAAGAAAACCAAATCTGAAAGACATGCCGTGCTAAAACATAAAATCAAAACGAGAGGCGTGCGGCCATAGCCGCAAATAAATCTGTTACATAATAAAAAGTCATACGAATCGTACAACGTTCGTGTGTAAGACGTGAGGCTTCGGATGAGAGCTGAAGCTGCACTCGTATCCCCATGCAGTCCCAGATGAGTATACTATCAAAATACCACGAAACCAAATCTACTTCTCGCAATCTCCAGACTGCTTGAAAAGCTTAACTGCCCAGGTTGCCGCGACTTGTATACTTCAGCCAAAGGGTTCCACGTACACAGGATTACAAAAACACAAACCTAGCATCATATCTTCCTAACAACATATACCAACATTAGCCAAAACTTAGGCGCTTGGGCATTTGGATCCGGAGAGTAGCAGGTTTGGATCCAAACCCCAACCGCCCTCCACTGAAAAACCTCAATTCTACGCCTAGGCCCTCGACCTGGAATGCTGAAGACTACCGGGGTTTAGGCTTTAGGGTCTGCATCTTTCGGTGCATCAACCCCAAGCAGTTAAGGCCGTAAGTAGGCGGCCCACAAACCCCACACCTCCCACTGGTGCTTACGCTTCACCACGGCTACTACAAAGTTTTTGTGCAACAAAGTTATAGACCAAGAGAGCCCATTACCCCCCAAGTAAACACTGAAGCGGCCAGAAGTTCCCACAAGGACCCCATGTCTTTCCTCCGGTTGCTTCATCCTTGCTACCGTCTCTTCTCGGGCAGCCAGAACCTCCCCCCTTGTGTTTATGCTTTAGGATTCAAGGCCCCAAACTCAGGTCAAGCAGAAAATATTCGTGTCCTGCAATTGCCTCTGGATGCTTGTAGGCAATCTCCTCCCCTTTCCCGACCCTCGTCCGCTCCGCCAACGGCGCCTTCAAATCACCAGCAGTTCCTTGGCCCCGTTTGTTTGCGGCCGGCCCGAGGCGGACGACGCGAAGCGTTTAAAATAATAACCCTGTTTATTAAGTCCTATGATCTTTTTAGTAGGGTTTCGGAGGTTCGACACTCCAAGTATTTCAGGGAAACTGAAATGGATGCGTCGTTTACACAAAACTGCCTGCACAGTCGTAGCACCAGAAGCAAGAGGCACCGACACTATGATTTAAGGCCTGGAGTTTTGGGTGTCCTGCTTGAAGCGGTTTAGGGTTTAGGGGGGAATCCGAACTGTCAGCCAAAGGAAGCATGTATCCTGAATGGCACTGCTCTCTTGAGCCCGTGCTGTATACAAGCTGCTTGTTAAGTTTAGGCTCTTGAAGAACCCCTAACAATGCGACGACTGCTCAGCTACTTATTGAAGTAGACCACGAACTCCTCCCAAAGCCCCGAACCCTAAACAGGCCAAGGGCCCCAATAACTAGAATAGGGTTTTGGGGTATACTATACTATAATTATAACAGGGAACCTCCAAAATAGTATTGGCAATTATTTAGCCCCCTATATTCCCCTTGTGAAACCCAAACCCCATTAGGGTTTAGAGTGTAGGGTTATGGGTCGAACCCCAACGCCCTTTAACTACTTGGAGGGTATTGGTAAAGTTAGATACTACAGCTCAGACTGGGAGAGCTATCGGCTATCAGCAACCTGAACCTGCAAGTTTGGGCCCTCTTTAAGGGCTCCTTCACGTGTTCTTTAAGGGCTTCTCATGTGGAGTGCAGGGTTTAGGAGTTTAGGATTTCGGATCTACGGGGCCTTCGGCCTAAACCCTAAACCCCAAGCCCCTAAACCCTAAACCCTACACCCTAAACCCTAAGAACCCTTGTGAAACCCATAAGATCGCAGCTCCATCTTCAAGGAGGTCGGCGAGGGACGCACCTTTGAGAGGGCTCATCCACGTCGGGCTTACGGTCTTAGGGTTTAGGGTTTCGGGTTTAGGGTGCAGGGCTTCGGTTTTACGGCCTGATACGACTTGTTATCTGATGTTTATGCAAGGACTCCGCGGATCTTCAGGTCCGTCCAGGTCCACTCTTAGGCTCTGTTTCAAGTTCAGCTACTTAGGATTTAGGGTTTAGGTTTCAGGGTTGGGGGCTGTCGGGTTTGTGATTTTCAATTCTAGGGTGCAGGATTCATGTTCGGAACCATGAACCGCTGAACCCCTAAAACACTGAAACCCTAAAACCCTAACAAGAAAACAGCCCTAAATTACTAAACCCTAAACCCCTAAAACCCTAAACCCCTAAACCTCTAATCCTCTGAACCCCTAAACCCCTAAACCCCTAAAACCCTAAACCCTAAACCCCTAAACCCCGAAACCCTAGCTCCAAGCCACGAACTCTGAGGTCCCCAGGACTTCCTAAAAATGGCGTTCCTGCAAGGGTTCCGTTTTGAAGCTAGTTTAAAGGATTTTCTAGAGGGCCTCTAGGGGTTCCATAAGAATTAGCCTGAGGGTTTTTATGAGGGCCTCTAGGGGTTCCATAAGAATTAGCCTAAGGGATTTTATAAAACCTGTAAAGGGCTCCATAAGAAATATCCTGTAATAAAAGATAATAAAAGGGGGGCTATGAGCAAAGATGGTGCTCGGAGACTAGCTGTGCTCAGCCCAATGATCATCCAAGTAAGAAGCCCTAAACCCTAAACTCTAAACCCCTAAACCCCTAAACCCCTAAACCCCTAAACCCCTAACCCCAAACCCTAACCGTAGAGCTCGGGGTCTTGCATTTTTCCGGGAGCCCAACACTCCCCAGCAATCACAACAAGAGACCTTATCCAATAAGTTGAACAGTCTTTCTCTGAAGATAGTCTAGGGTTTAGGGTTTAGGGTTTAGGGGTTCTCTTTGCGGGTTTAAGACGGGATTGTCCTGTCGGGAAACAGCCAGGGGCCGGATACCTTAGTCCTTGCATAGCAACCCTTTGGCGAAGGTGCCTTAACCGATGGTTCAGTGGTTCAGGATTTCGTCTCGCCTAAACCCTAAACCCTCACCCTAACCCCTAAACCCGAAACCCTCAACCCTAAACCCTCAACCCTCAACCCGAAACCCTAAACCCCAAACCCGAAACCCTCAACCATAAACCCTGCACCCTCAACCCTAAACCCTCAACCCGAAACCCTCAACTCTAAACCCGAAACCCTCAACTCAGCTTAAGACTTCAAGCTTGGGCCTTCCTCAGTGCTCGCTGTGACGATCCCAGAAGAGACATGAAATGCAAACCACAAGGTAGGGTTTCGGGTTTTTTGATTATATAGGGGCCTTAATAGGGTTTTGGAGTAGGGTTTTTTTAAAGTGGACATGTGCACCCTCTCTCGCTCACAGCAGCGCACTGGCACGTTGGCCCTCCACAGAACTACAGAACTACACTCAGCAAAGCAGACACCCGTCACAAACACAATGTCACCCATGCCAGAACAGAAAGACTCGTGGACAAACTCATCCAGTGCAGCGTCCACCCAAGCAGCATAAAGACCACCACCACTGCCACTCACCATTACCACGAACACCTACTGCACCATCCACCACCACTGCCATCCACCGTACCACCACAAGCAGCATAAAGACCACCACCACTGCCACTCACATTACCACGGACACACACTGCACCAGGGGGGTTTAGGGTTTAGGGTTTAGGGTTGAGAGTTTGGGGTTTAGGGCTTTAGGGTGCCAACATGGATTCTAGGGGTAACCAGGAGCACTCGCACGAACAAGAAGCAACGATATGAAACCCTCGCCACGCCCTTCTACGAGCACCCAAGAAACCTCACAGAAAACGGGCGCGGCCTTTCTCGTTTGCCGTTTTCGTCACATCGCCATCCACCACCGCCTCGTAGCGGCGAGGCCTCGAAAGGCTCCCCAGCGCATCTTAACAACAAGGGTAATACCCTTTTCATCCTGGTACCGCTAAGGAAGAGGCCCCACCAAAAGTAAAAGGGTACTAAACAGAGACCAGTCAAAGGGATCGGGTTACCAAATCGCACTCCCGCCACAATGCCGCAATCTGCCGCAATTACATGTTTTCGGGGGCCCGCGCGTGGCCGTCGCGCAATCGTGCTTCCACCACAGAGCCGTGCGTATGTTGGCTGCGACTCGTGCTTACGTCTCCGAAAACATCGCGCCACAGCTCCTCACATCTGCACTATGGAGCAGTGCAACAACGAAAGAACCCCTAGAACACGAGAACACGGAAAAAGCAATAAAGCCTCGAAAAAAATCGAGCGTCTGGGGCCTAAGGTTTGGAACTTAAAGTTTAGGTTTTTTTCCGCAAACCTGTCCAAAACCCTAAACCCTAGACCCACTGAGCGGCGAGCACCTCCTTCGATGGGTTCAGCAGCTTCGAGGTGAGCCTGATGGAGCTGTCGCGCTGTAAAGGGCTCCCATAAAGGGCTCCTTTTGAAGTGCTCCATGAAAAGGGCTCTAAGGGCTGGGAACGTAGGATTATAGGAGGTTATGAGTCTTGGGTTTGGGGTTTAGGAAGAGCTTAGGAGCCTATGGCTTAGAGTTCAGGGTTTAATGAGGTCTATGGTCTAGATTCTTTTGAAGGGTTCCTTACACTTTCATGGCTCCCAGAAAAGTTCCTGCAAGGGATCACTTCAAGGCCGACGTTATATTGTACCATATGCTATACTACCTACATACAATAAGCTAATAAGGGTTGCTGCAAAGGACACTGTAGCAAGGATTATTTGGATGCCCCTGTCCCGAATCCTGGAAATTGCCAGTGCGCGGAGGCTGAACCCACCAGGAAACTTCGCTCTAGACATCGTTTCAAGTTTAGGGCCTAGGGTTTGTTCTTCAAGGGTTTAGGCTTTAGGGCGTTGGTGAAAAAGTCAGGGGATGAAGCAACCTGAATGGATCGTAAGCAGAAGCGTCTAGGATGACCCCACTGGCGTTTGCGCATCAATGGAAAGAGCTCTCCACAAAGTGCCCAGAGCCTCCACTTAAAACCCTTTAAAAGCCCTTCCACCCTGGCCTAAACCCTGGCAGCATCTCTGAAACCTGAGGCAACCCTTACAGGAGCCCTTAAGAAACCCTAAACCCTAACCCCTAAACCCTAAACCCCAACCCGAAACCCTAAACCCCGAGGCTCCAGCTTCCCATCTCGGCTTAGCAGGAGGAGCCCTGGACACGGGAGAGTTGGACTTTGCAGGGGTCGCGCGAAACCTTCAAAAAGATAAGGGGGTCTATAGCTCCCGTCAACAAAAACAACAGGAGCCCTTCATAAGGAAACCTTCTAGGAACCTTCATATAAAGTTAGAGGTCTATAGCTCCCATCTTGAAGGGCTCTATAAGGGCTCAGTATGAGGTTTTCGGGTTTAGGGACTGTGGATATAGGGCTTATTATCAGACTTTGCTCCAAGGACTTATGGGAGATATAGGGTTTGCAGTACTTCGGCTTCGGAAGGCTCTTAGGGGTTTTCACGGGGCAGGGTTAGGGTTTAGGGTTTGGGTACAAAGGTTTGGGGTCTGGGGTTTAGGGGACATGTTGAGGGGCGCGATGACACAAAACACTCCTCCTCCTGTTCGGGATCCAACTGCCTGAATCAAGGAATGTTCCTTGTGCAGTAGCCCCGCTTAGCTCCGCATGAAACTCACTCGGAATTTTCTTGCAGGGTTTAGGGTTTACGGTTTCGAAGTGCAAGCACTGGGTCCTTCTTCCAACAGGGATCCTTAACGAGGAACCCTCAATTGAGGGTTATTGAACTTTCAAATCGGAGGCATTCACATAATACATAGAAGCTTTACTTGTATGTATGTATGTATGTATGTATGTATGTATGTGTATATATATATATGTATGTATGTATACACACACATTACTATCTATCTATCGCTTGCTATGTCTACCTATTCATCTATCTGCCTACCTGTCGGTCTGTCTGTCCGTCTGTCTGTCTATCTTCCTGTCTCTGTCTGTCTGTCTGTCTGTCTGTCTGTCTATCTGTCTGTCTGTCTGTCTGTCTGCCTGGCTGTCTGTCTGTCTGTCTGTCTGTCTATCTGTCTGCCTTCATCAAAAAAACATACGTATGTATGTATGTATGCATGTATGTATGTATCTATATATGTGTATATACATCTCTAAGAACAAAAACTATATGTACATATATATATATATGTATGTATACAAACCTTGGGCTCTGTCTTTTTTGGTCGGTGGGGGTGGCACTTCCTGGAAAGCCCCGGCCTGTCGTGTCGCGGTCAAGGCGGCCGACAGGATGGTACCTCAAAACCCCCCACCTAAACAGGGACCCTAATTTAGAGAACCACCCATAGAACGGTATAGGGTTTGGGGTTTGGGTGTTTCATAAGTTTTAGTTTGAGCCAGACAAGAAAGAAGGATCCCCCGTGGGATTTGGCATTTAGGGTTTAGGGTGTAGGGTTCTAGAGTTTTTGGGTTTTTTGGGATTTTGGGAGTTTGGGGTACGACTTAGGGTTTTGTAGCGACCAAGAGGGGTCCGGGTTTATGGGCTTACACATTTTCAAACCTGTAGGATTCTATATCTAGAGCCCGATAGAAGGAATCCTCGAAAGGGTTGTATTCAGCAGGTCTGTCTTCGGTTCTTTCAGGGATTAGTTACTTTCGTTTCGGTACTTAGAAGGGCCTGTAGCTCCCAATGCCAGGAACTTTGCGCGAAAGCCTGTGTCGGACATCTTGAAGACCCATACCCTAAACCCTAAACGCAAGCGTCTTCAGAAACGAGCATGGGAACACAGAACCTCAGATACTAGCCTCAACCCTAAACCGTGGACCCTTGACCCTAGACCCTGAACCCAAGACTCTCAAACATCCGAAGCCCTTTGCCCTTGACAACCCTCGAACCCTTTGGGGGATCAGGGCTTCCGGGGTTGAGTATTTCTGAGGCAGGCACGGGTTTTCCAGCTTGGGTCCATACGTCTCGGTTGGTGATCCGGGAGTAAAATGAGGCCTTTATTCCTATGCTTCTACGTAGGAAACGGTAGTACTGCCTGTCAATCTTCTTAAGCAGCTTATCTGTCAGGGTGAGGGAGTCCAACCCATAAAGGAGCACAGGAACTATGGCGGTGTGATATATGTGTACCTTAGTTTTACGAGGTAACGAGCTGTTCCATACCATACGAAGTTTCTTGAAGGCTTCTTCGGTGAGGCCGAGTCTGTGATAGAAGGCTATGTGAAATGGGTTGATCCAACTTATCCTTGACCCCAGGTACTTAACTTGGGTGCTTTTGGGGACTACCGAGCCGTCTAAGAATTTAAGAGCGGTGTGGTCAGCGTTGGGATGTGACAATACTTCCGTTTTGCTGCGGTTGAGGTTCATCCCATATTCCTGAGCTACTGTCTCACGGGCCCTGAGCATTCCCTGTAGTTGTGGGGTAGTGAGTGCCATTAGTAGGGTGTCGTCTGCGTACTCTAGGCCGTATACAGGAAATCGCATTCTGGGGACCCAGGCTGCTCCAAAGACAGCCACGGCCTGTGCCAAGAGAGTTTTAGGGTATCGAAGTCTAGCAACCCTAAACCCTAAACCGTGGGGCTAGAAGATGCTAAAGAATATCCGTGCACTTGGCCGCGGGCATAACGGGTCCTAGCCGAGGCCTAAGCCCTACCAACCATGAGCCTCCGACCCCGAGACCATGCTGAAAATTGCCTGTACCACCTTCCACAAATACCTGCAACAGCACTCCATGAGCCCATGAGGCACGAACCCTAAACCCTAAATCCTACTCAACACCTAAACCCGGAGCCCTCAAGCCAAAGCTCGAAACCAAACCAGCGAAAACTTGGGGTTTCGGGTTTAGGGTTTAGGGGTTTGGGGGATTCCAGACAAACCGGGAAGACCGGGTTGAATTAAAGCAAGCTGGCCAGAGACGCGAAGAAATGTAGGGGGGGCTTAATGATTAGAATGGGGCTTGATGGTGTATTGTACCATGGGGGGGTGTATTATATGCTCAATATACTAAGGACACCTAAGGAAAAACACATTCCAACATTCACGCAAGACTGTGTTCTGACTGAGCATCCATTGCGCGATTTATGCGACTCTGCCACGTGATGGGGATTCCCAAGGTAGGAGCCTTAAAACGAAACTGCCAACCCTGACATTGAGTATTTTTCGAAGCCTAACACTGCGGCTCCACTTCCTGAAGGTTCCCAACAGCATCAACAAACTCTCTACAAGAAGATGCCCACGGAGCCATTGGAACCCCCAAGCTCTACACCGCAAAACCATCAACCCCGGTTCCAGCTCGGGGACACAAGCGGATTCTGAATCTAAGTGCAGGGTTCCGACTTAGGATGACGACCAACTCCTACACCCTAAACCCTCCTATTCCCAAACCCCAAAACTCGAATTCTAAACTCGGTTCCCAAAGTCCCAAACCCTGAACTCCTCCATCCCGGAGCCCTCAGACACCCCAAAAATCCGATTTTTTAAAGGCCTTCATCGCTGAAACCCTAAACCCTGAACCCTAAACCGCGGGCCTCATCCCCTCGGATGCCAAGATTTCACGCACTTCCTGCCTTCACGGGGAGATTCAGAGGACTCAGAAAGGGTTTTTTTTCTAGGATCCTGGGGTTTGTAAGGCCGTGAAGGTTTAGGGCTTAGGGTTTAGGGCTTAGGGCTTAGGGTTTAGGGTTTAGGGAAGAAGGTTTTTGTCTGGTTGTATGAGGATGTTACTTGGTTCTGTAAGGTTCCAGGGAAAGCTTTCCAGGACGGGAGGAGTGCGGGATTTGAAGTTCAGGCATGAGGTTTTGGAACATAGAATTTGTGGTTCGGTTCGGCATTTAGAGGGGTTTAGGGGTTTAGGGTTCCGAGTTTGGGCTTGAAGGGCGAGGATGTCGAGGATGTAGAGCTTATAAAGATTGTTGTAAGGTCCCAGACTCATGGCCCTAAACCCTACCTAAACCCAGGATGTCGAGGGAGGCGGGATGTTCGCAGTCAGGAGCTCGGCTCCAGGGCTTTGGCGAAAGAGCAGAGTCCCGATCTTAGAGTTTAGGGTTTAGAGAACTGGGCCCAACATCCAAAGGTTTGGGGCAGCGCCGTCATTGCCGTTGCCTGAAGAACCACCAGGCCCAACGTGCCCGGAGCAAGCGTAGCCAGAACCTGCCCATTCCAGTGCGCGTGGCACATGCCGCCTCCGAAAGCTCCAATGTACCACTGATTTCCTTTTAAGGTTTATGCAAGGTTTAGGGTTCCTGGATACTGGTGTTCACCTAGGCGTAGTCCTTAGGCAACAAGAGGTCGTAGTGTCCACTTTGCCCAGTGCCCGTCCTTTCATAACCAAGCTCAACTGGAAAGGAGCAAGAACTAGGGCCATGCCTGGTGGGAGGCTGTGCAGCAACAGCCAGGATCATGAATAGCGTAATTCGGTAATAAGATTCGCGGCTACATGTAAAGAGTCGGGCTTAAACAGGGTTTGGGGTCCGTGGTTCACCATCCCTCACTTTACTTAAACACCGACAATCATCAACCCTAAGCCCAAAACCAACAAAACAAAACAATGAAGGGCAAAGCTTTAAAACCCTCCCTCAACCTGTCTGGGTCGCAAATCGCCCCAGCACACCATTTCGAAAATCCTAAAATCCTCAATAGCCAATTATTTAAACTTCCTGGAATACATGCATGCCGCATGCACTTCAAAGCCTAGAAGAAAACACTATCCTAGTCCCATGATCCTTTGACCCATGAGGTCGCCGTCTCTCTAAGGCAGACTTGAACACGCATCGGCACAGAAACGGTTTAGGGTTTAAGGGGTGTATACAATGTGCGCGCGGTGGGTGCGCCTGTGCGTTTAGGAATAGGAGCACACCCCAAGCGGGGTTGTTTTGCTCTCTGCTTCCCTTCGCAGTACGACACATAAACGATCTCATGTCACAGCAAACCACAGCTGAGATGGATTGGTGTCGGGTTGGGGGTCCTCGCGGCCGGCCGTTCGACGAGAAGCAAGGGTTTCTAAGAAACAACCTGCCCCTCCCACAGTGTAAACACCGACCCTGGCAGAAAGCTTTCCGTGTGTCTGGGAAGAGGTCACCCCATACTGTTGATGATATAAATCCTGCGTTGCCTTAAGGACCCTAAACTATTATATGATATCATCAACTGTAGGAACGGCCCAAGAGGAGCCGGGTCCCTGGAAATTTGGCAGGTCGCTCCCTAGGACGGGCCCATGCGGCCCGCTGGCCAAATGGTATGAATACATTGGCATACTATACATGCACTCCATCTCGAAAACAC